TTTAATTGCGGAATACCACTATTTTTTCGACCGGTGGCGCCACCCGTGGCATTTCGCTCAAACTGCTAGCCAAATTATACCGACAGGTGAGTGAAAATTTATACTGATGGCAAAATGCAAATATCTCAGTAATTAAGCATTTAAACTGAACGCCATTAGTCTCAAATTGTCCCTCAGGACTTAGTGCATGGACCCAATAGTGCAGAACCCCTGAATTAATAAAATTAGTTATGCCTGTCTTATCGTGACCTCTTATGAGGCGACAACCTGATTGCAAAATATTTCGAGCGCATTTACAACCGCTAAACGGGCATGATTCTTCTTCGTTTTGCATTAGATACAACGCTTCAAAAACGTAGATTACTATTCTCTAACGGCTGGACACTAATAATTACAAGAACATTGTTAAAATCGTATTTGTTTGCAACGGTTGACACTGTATCTCGTCATGCGTTCCCCGGTTAGTTCACTTTGAATAGCTCTTCCAACGTTATATGGACAGGTTACGTCTTGATCAAGCATTCAGTTTGAAGCTGAAAGAATGTAGATTAATCTCCTCTCATTGATAATATCAATAAACAACCAGAACACTGTTAAAATCGCATTTAATTGCGGTATACCCCTATTTTTCGACCGGTGGCGCCATCCGTGGCGAATCGCTGAAGCTACTAGCCAATTTTACCCTAGCAGGTTCAGCTGTTCGCCACGGATGGCGCCACTTGTCGAAAAAATAGGGGTATTCCGCAATTAAATGCGATTTTAATAATGTTCTGGTCGTTTATTGTTACTTTCGATGACAGAGGATTAATGCACGTTCTTTCAGCTATAAATCGAGTATTTTGTCTAGATGAAAGTTATCCGTATAACGGTGTAAGAACTATTCAAAGTGAACTAACCGGTGTACGCATGACGAGATACAGTGTCAACCGTTGCAAACAAATACGATTTTAACAATGTTCTTGTGATTACTAGTGGCCAGCCATTAGAGAATAGTAATCTACGTTCTTTAAACGTTGTATCTAATGCAAAACGAAGAAGAATCATGCCCGTATAGCGGTTTAAATGCGATAGAAACATTTTGGCAACCGGACTGCCGCTCCAAATTATATCGACAGGTGAGTGAAAATTTCTAGTGATCGAAAAATGCAATAATCGCAGTAATTAAGCACTTAAAATGAACGTCATTAGTCTCAAATTGTCCCTCAGGACTTAATGCATGGACGCAGTAGTGCAGAAACCCTGAATTAATAAAATTAGTTATGCCTGTATTACCGTAACATCTTATGGGGCGACAACCTGATTGCAAAATATTTCGATCGGATTTAGACCGCTAAACGGGCATGATTCTTCTTCGTTTTGCATTAGATACAACGTTTAAAGAACGTAGATTACTATTCTCTAACAGCTGGACACTAGGAATTACAAGAACATTGTTAAAATCGCATTTGTTTGCAACGGTTGACACTGTCTTTTGACATGCGTATCCCGGTTAGTTCACTTTGAATAACTCTTCCAAGGTTATATGGCCAGGTTACGTCTTGATCAAGCATTGAGATTGAAGCTGAAACAACGTAGATTAATCTCCTGTCATTGAAAATAACAATAAACAACCAGAACACTGTTAAAATCGCATTTAATTGCGGTATACCCCTATTTTTCGACCGGTGGCGCCATCCGTGGCGAATCGCTGAAGCTACTAGCCAATTTTACCCTAGCAGGTTCAGCTGTTCGCCACGGATGGCGCCACTTGTCGAAAAAATAGGGGTATTCCGCAATTAAATGCGATTTTAATAATGTTCTGGTCGTTTATTGTTACTTTCGATGACAGAGGATTAATGCACGTTCTTTCAGCTATAAATCGAGTATTTTGTCTAGATGAAAGTTATCCGTATAACGGTGTAAGAACTATTCAAAGTGAACTAACCGGTGTACGCATGACGAGATACAGTGTCAACCGTTGCAAACAAATACGATTTTAACAATGTTCTTGTGATTACTAGTGGCCAGCCATTAGAGAATAGTAATCTACGTTCTTTAAACGTTGTATCTAATGCAAAACGAAGAAGAATCATGCCCGTATAGCGGTTTAAATGCGATAGAAACATTTTGGCAACCGGACTGCCGCTCCAAATTATATCGACAGGTGAGTGAAAATTTCTAGTGATCGAAAAATGCAATAATCGCAGTAATTAAGCACTTAAAATGAACGTCATTAGTCTCAAATTGTCCCTCAGGACTTAATGCATGGACGCAGTAGTGCAGAAACCCTGAATTAATAAAATTAGTTATGCCTGTATTACCGTAACATCTTATGGGGCGACAACCTGATTGCAAAATATTTCGATCGGATTTAGACCGCTAAACGGGCATGATTCTTCTTCGTTTTGCATTAGATACAACGTTTAAAGAACGTAGATTACTATTCTCTAACAGCTGGACACTAGGAATTACAAGAACATTGTTAAAATCGCATTTGTTTGCAACGGTTGACACTGTCTTTTGACATGCGTATCCCGGTTAGTTCACTTTGAATAACTCTTCCAAGGTTATATGGCCAGGTTACGTCTTGATCAAGCATTGAGATTGAAGCTGAAACAACGTAGATTAATCTCCTGTCATTGAAAATAACAATAAACAACCAGAACACTGTTAAAATCGCATTTAATTGCGGAATACCCCTATTTGTCGACTGGTGGCGCCATCCGTGGCGAGTCGCTGAAACTGCTAGCGTAAAATTGGCTAGTAGTTTCAGCGATTCGCCACGGGTGGCGCCACCGGTCAAAAAAATAATGGTATTCCGCAATTAAATGCGATTTTAGCAGTGTTCTGGTTGTTTATTGTTATTTTCATTGACAGGGGATTAATCTACGTTCTTTCAGCTACAAATCGAGTACTTTACTTTGACGAATGCTATCCGTATAACGGTGTAAGAACTGTCCAAAGTGAACTAAACGGGGCACGCACGACGTGATACAGTCTCAACTGTTGCAAACAAATGTGATTTTAACAGTGGTCTGGTCATTTATTTTTATAATCAACGACATGGGATTAATCTACGTTCTTTAAGCTACAAATCGAGTAGTTGGTCAAGACGAAAGCTGTCAGCACAACGTCGGAAGAGTTCTCCAAATGGGAACTATACGGGAAGCGAATGGCGGGAAGCAGTGACTAATATGTATACTCACACACCACGCTGGGTCTTTCACGTACGCACGGGGGTTTCTGTAACCCCTCTTTTCTCACACGCAGGGTGTCTTACGCATGCTCCGGGGGTTCTATGACCCCACTCAGTCACCCGCGCAGGATCTCTGACGAATTTTTGCGGGTAGCGGAATTAAGAAAATGTTGGCGGTTAAGGAATTTTTACAGACAGCGGTGGTTAAGAAAATGTTGACGGTTAAAGAATTTTTGCAGGAAGCGGTGGTTAAGAGATGTCGACGGTTAAGGAATCTTAGCGTTTAGCGATGGTTAAGGACTGTCGGTGTTTGGCGGTGGTTAAGGAATGTTGGTGGTTGGCGGTGGTTAAGGTATGTTGGTGGTTAGTTGAGGTTAGCGGTGGTTAGTGGATGTTCTTAAGCGGACTAGTAATTCTGGTTAGAACATACAGTATGAATTCTTTTTACATTTCGTTTATTTAATCATCGTTTTCAATAAAATACAATACTAGCAATATTTTATACGACATTTATACATTAAGTTATTTTACATTTACTGCAGTGCTTTACGAACGTTGAAATAAAAAACTGTACAGTCGAGCAAATAGTAGCATTTTTGACTTATAAGTTCAATTATCGAAATGGTTGATCAGTTTATTAACTATTATCATAAAGTGAGGCGATCTATACATTATTTTACTTGCTCAACAAGAAAATTCAAAGCGAACGTTTATTGTAATATTTTTAATCAAAATACAAATGTAGCGAGAACCTATTATTTACACGTTAAATACAATTTTTGGTCAGACTGTATATACACAGAAACAGAATAATACGAATTTTAAATGAAATACCCGAAAACCATGAATGAAATAAGTATATGAATATTTACACAACTTAATTAACTAACTACAGTATTAATTTATCTACCTACCGCCGGAGAATTTACAGTTATTGCAGAGAAAGGAATCTTAACGTGTTCCTCTAATGACAGTTGCCTGCAAACTGCCTTTAATCATTGACACTGTCACTTTTGACTTCAATATTTACACTCTCTTTAACAAATCCATAAATACAATCACTGGACAGGTTTGTCCGCTAGACAATGAATAGTAAAAAAAAAAAAGGAAGAATTATTCTAAAATATGTACAATGAAATTACATCATGAACCTAACAATTAAACTTAAATACGATTTAAATTTACTGGCACGACTCGCTAAATCGATCTTTAATAAGACACTGTTTCAGTTCTCAGTTGTTGCTATCATCTTTCGCGAAGTATTAGAATAAATAACTAATGGCTGGATGCTAGCTATGCTGTACAATAAAAGGACAATTTACTATTTAAGGGCACTTCAATCATAAATATCTGTGAATACAATAGAACATCAGTTATATTATCTTCGTTCCCAAATCGAGAACCTTATTGAATACTGTACAGATAATATTACACTAATTTGATCTGAATTCACTCAGTTAACCATTGTTCTACCGTAGACACAGAACTTACTCTACGACTACTCATTGTACATTCTTCACCACCCCTGAACTCAATACACCGACTGTTACATCACAGGTTTGAAAAAATAAGGAATTAACTTTTCGTTTCCACTTTAAATTCTGCCAAATTTGGCAAATAGTCCAACAGTCGATGCATCGACATCCAATCAGTAAACGTTACAACAAAAGTCAATATAATACGAGACCACAAATTCTACACACATCTTCAACCCCCAATCACCAACCAAACCAGTTGGCAGTTGTACTTCTGAACGAAAACGTCTTTCAGCAAAATCCCCTACAACTCGATACAATTAAATCGACTTCAATAACATGGTATCAGCTCAATACCAGCTGTAAAACGGTTGATGAGGCGCAGGTCTGGGCGGTTGTTGGAACCCTTGAGCGCTGTAATGGCTAGCAAAAGCCTGATGAGGATGAGGGGCGTGCGCATGAGTTTGTTGCAGGCTGGAGGGTGGGCTTGGAAGACCAACCCTTCCGCCACTGGAGATTGGAAGGTTCCACGAAGGCGAGGTGTTCCCCTGGCTAGCCTGTTGCTGTTGGTGTTGTTGCACAGGGGACACAGAGCTGATTGGCAGGTCCGAAGAGGTCAGGTGGTCGGATGATGGGTTCGAATTCCCGGAATTGGGACCCATCATAGTGACCAAGGAATTGGGTGTAGGTGGAAGTTGATGGCTGCTGGGTTGCTGATAGGTGGAGGACGATGCTGGCGCCACTGGAGACGCTTGGTGGGTCATATGGCTAGCACTGGATGTAGCTGGTAACAGTGAGCTGGGATACGAGACTGACGGTGGTAGTCCGTAACTCGGTGTGGATCCAACCGAGGAAGGTAACCGAGTCGAATCTGTCGTCAACTGATGAGACATGGTGTGGTGGGACGAGTACAGTTCTGGAACTATTCGAGTACGTACATTAATCGTCGGATTCTTTCGACATTTTAAATAAAATCATCATTGAATGGGGAGACTTACCTTGACTGGAGGAGAATGTAGTGTCGGGCAAAGTCTGTCCGTGAGGATGAGAATGAGGATGGTTCGGTGGAACCGCTGCAGCGCTATGAGGATGAGGCGCAGCAGGAGGATGAAGAACGTATGAGGCAGCTGGATAAGCCACGGAGCTAACGTAACCACCAGATGTGGTTGAAGACAATTGCTTCCTGAGCCTGGCTCTTCTGTTGCTGAACCATACTTGTATCCTAGCCTCGGTTAATTTCGTTCTTTGAGCCAATTCTTCTCTAGTGTAAATGTCTGGGTACTGGGTCCGCTCGAACGCTCTCTCAAGCTCGTCCAGTTGATGGGCAGTGAAGGTAGTCCTGCTCCTTCTCTGCTTTCGCTTCAAGGGGATTCCTGGCTCGCTCTCGCAGTCTGATCCGGAACTGGTTTTGCCTGCAACAAGGAAGGAACATCGTCAGACGTGTGTACAATCGTATGTAGGTCATAGGTCTTTAAAATTGGACATTACCAGGTCTGCTGTTTATGCAAACTGCATGACGCTAAAGTTCCTCTCCGTTTCGCGTTAACAATAAACTGGTTAGCATAACGAAAAACGAAAATAATAGAAACAAACGAGAATAATGAGGTGCAGGGGATGCGAATAAGGGAGACGAAATTACGGGCTCCTGTCTAATAGCTATTAATTCCTCGTGTCACCTGCCCGGCCCAGTCTCCCACTCTCTCTCTCTCTCTCTCCAGGTGAACCGCACACGCTTATGGTTTGTTTTGCCGGGTCTGGAGTTCAAAAGGGGCCGCGCCGCGGCTTTTGTGCCGTGCACATTGCGCTGATTGTTTCACACTCGATTCGCGACCGACTCGTTTGCCACGCTCCTTTTCCCTTCTTTTTTCTTTCAACTTTGATTATGAGTCACGCTACCCTGTGTTCCCATCGAAAACCGTGAAAATAGATTTTATTCGAGGAAGTCTTTTACTGACCTACCGATACAAATTTTCCAGACGATGTTTTGTTATTTCCTAAATTTTGAAGCAACGATTTAAGGGGCTTAGCGTTAAAGGGTTAATATCTCAGAACGCTACCATTGTGACATAGCTGCCTCAATTATTTGTCGAAGAATAGAAAGGAATTTCTGCAATTTTCTTGTTTACCCCTTCAGGAATTCGAACACCGGTGAAAGAGAAAGATCGAGACGAGGCTTACATTTTTAGATTACAGTAAATTTATCATCGGCGGCCAGCGAAGGCGGAGGACGAGAGCGCGACACGTTCGTAAAAAGAACAAGTCGCGCGCAGTCGAGAGGAGCCCCGCCGTTGATGCCCATTCGACACGGATTCTATTCCCGGACGGACCCGCTCTCCTTCCTTTTCCTTTCTCTCGCGTCCCCCTCGACCCTTGTCATTCCGCCATTTTCTCTGTTTTCCAATATCCATTTATTGTTAATCACGTTATGCATACACATTTCCTTGAGTAGAACCTTCTCGAATACGTGGACACTGCCACACACATTGAATTCCTAAATATTTAACGTTTTTTCAAACATTATTACTATCATACATAGTAGAGAATAATGAAGCAGTATGCGACACTATAGTGTTATCCTGATCTTTAAACAGTTAATCAGATTAACTACAGTGACTCACAGATTTATTTACATACTTTCGACAGAACACAAGCAAGTGTAATAAGTGTTTACAACATTCTTATCTATTGAATTCGTGTTACTTTCAATTCTACCATTCGTCTATAATAAATTTTTCTGAATTTTAAATCAAAATTGGTTAATGAAATAATGTTACGGTCTTCCGTCAACATGTTTATGAGTCACTGTAATTGTTTGTAAAGTGTCTATTGGGAATTTTGTCGTTTAATCTATTACAAATGGCGAAGTACTTTTTAATCTTTCATTCGTTATTTGAAACTCTTGTTCTGTTTGCCCATAAAAAAGCAAGAAGCTCTAAAGAAATATCTGTCGGTGAATTTTTAAAAATACGTTCGAGGTCCAAATCGATCAATGAATCTTGATATAATTCGGGGTTGCTACCAAGTTTACAGTATCTCTTTTTCGATGTCTTCATCCCCTCGACCGCAATTGGAAACTCAGGAGCATCGTTTCTCTTCGCGGCCGAGAAGTCAGTGGGAAGACGATTTTGCAAAAATCACGACAGAAATTGCAACGTGCATGGGACTTCGCGATCAGCTACCGGCTAGTAATTACCAAACTTTCGAACCCGACATTACCCCCAGGGGGATTAAAGATTGCTAGGTTGCCGCTTCGGCGTGATACCGAACCGCGGATCATCCGAATACATCGACGAAAACACGGCACACGCGTTGGTTTTCTTCTCGTGCGAATGAAAAGGAACGAGAAACAAACGATTAATTTTTATCTACATTTAAACCCTGTTGGTCTTCGGGTCTATTTAGACCCAATCACATTTTCCTTTCTTCAACCCTGTCACGACTTTTCAGCTTATTTAATCCCGTCTCTACAAAAATATCCTTAGGTTCACGAAATTTACAGTTTTTCCACTTCCAATCGCGAAAGATTGAATTTAATTTACAAGAAATTGAATTTCATCTGCAAAAGGGTAAATTTGATTTGCAAAAAGTTGAAGTTGAAGTGCAAAAACTCTACAAGAAAATTCTTACCGATCTACGTGTTTCTCCTTCCTAGGCATTATATTATCTAATTTATAGCCGGACTGAGAACCGTAACATGAAATAAAGCATCTCGATCGTGTATTACAAAATGACAATTAAAACACTCGTTGTTCAACGAACATTAATTGTCAGAGTTCATTCGTCCCAGTGAATCGAAGAGGAATTTAAGAAGCGTGCATTCTACACGGTGGTTTGACAACCACAAGACGTTCGGTGGTCGGCGCCTTTTTAGCTATATTCCCACCCCCGGTCGCAGAGTCAACGCGCGCGCGTTGTTTTTGCCCTCCTCTTTTTGTTTTGAAAGGGCGGCCGACCATCGGGGGCCCGATCGACTTACAAATCTACGGGGCAGTTTCTTCTCGTTTTGCTCTTTCATCTTCGCCGACGACCGTTCACGACCGATCTCACGACCGATCTCACGACCGATCTCACGACCGATCCCACGACAGACCACCGCCGTCGGTACAAGTTTCGTTTGTCTTGTCGTCGAGGGGGTGGAATCAACCCCCATACTGTGAGAAATCTTCAACGTTCATCGCTGTATTCTTACACCTCGACATTTATTTACACGTGTATTATAATATATTATATACTCGTGTAGTCGCAAAAGGTCTATTGTTACGATAATCGTGAGAAACTCTTGAAAATATACAAAGTTATAAAGAAACTGATTTTTTCATTTTCATATTTCGATAAAAGTTATAAAAGATGTGAGAAAATGCATTGTTGGAACATTGCAATCATCGTTACATAAGAACCCACTAACAAGTCCTTTTGATTACTTTGATAGATCTACTGTGAACAGCAAATCTCTATTATTCTTGACACATCAAACCAACCACCTCGACCAAAGGTAAACATCGAAAAGTAACACTTAAGGGTTCCACTTGCTAAACCAGTAGATATCCTCGGTACCGTGAAAATATTTACGTTTTAATGTTCTCGCTTTCCCCGAACAAACACTAATTACAGTGTTTAACGATAATCGTGTCCCGTCAGAAACGGAAGATCGTTCACCCGTAAGGATTCACGGATCCGTTTCGTGGCATCGTCTGTTCCACCAGCCACCGGAGGATCGAACATTCGGGGGCCCCCGTGTGCACGTGGGGCATGATGTACCGGGCGGCGAGAAAATTACAGAGCTCAGACACAGCTACCGAGCGTTCGCCGAGGTGTACGAGAACCGGTAATTTCCAAGATCGAGAAACGCGAGGCTGATTAATGCGCGACCATTTAATTTATTCATTCACCGTTTCTCTGGGTTCCTCCCAGCTACCTCTCTTCTGGGATCCTTGGTGGTCTACCCGAGCCAGCTGATGGGGCGTGTCATCGAGGGGATATCGTGATCGTGAAACTCGCTCGCTAATAAGTCCAGATACTCGTAATTTTCCTATTTCGATCGGTCGCGGCCATTACGGGTTACTTTTGTGTTACTTGCCCACGCGAGTATTCTCGATCCCGGGGCCAGGTACCGGTGGACTCGCGCGATAGTACCGACCAATGAGTCCTCATAGCGTTCTATTGAGCTCGACTGAATCGTTAGAAGAAAAATTGTTCGGTAAACTTCGTCTTGAGGTAATCGAAATTTCGTGATACATTTTTCTGTCTCCCGATAGGGTTTGACGAATAGAATCCATTTCTTGGATATTACTCGTCGAATACTATCAAGGAACATGAAAATGTATCACAAATTTGAATCCCTTAAAATACAAAGTTTTAACTAAATTATTTATCACGAAGAATATTTTAATGCACCTTCAGGAGGTCAAACATAGACCTCAATTTATCGAGTCGCTGATCAAATGCAGTAGAATCTTGGAAAGTGGTTCTGATCGCTGAACACTGATAAATGTTGCAGAGTACCAGCGATATATTACAGGTTGCAACTTTCCGCGTGAATATCTAGGTGTTCCATCTAGCCTCAACTTCTCAGGAAACTGTACGCCGTCGAAGTAAACGAAGATATCTTCGTTCGACGAAGTAAAACACGAAGAGAAACGCACGGTGTTCCGCAGCGGCTAAGAAACACTTTTTCGAATGATCAGCGGGGTGATTAAAGAGCCCACGGTGGAAAAGTTTCTGCTTCTGGCGCAAATTAACCGCGAACTGGTCGCGCCAAGCTCCACTTTTGATTTGCCACGTAATTTCCTGCGTTGTAATTTTCCTTCGGATGGAAGATTACGCTCTT